TATGGCCGAACCTCAACCAGTGCTACAGGTGCATTAGTGAATGAAATATTACCAGAATACCTGAGAGACTTCATTTGGATTTATGGTCCCAAATTCGCGGACGGAGCCGGCCAGTGCGGCAATCTTGCCAACTCTCAACCTTAACCAACTCTTCCTAACGACTGCAAACAGGCCAAATGGGATCGCCCCAAAGTGGAGAAAATTGCCTCAGCATTGCTGGAGGCAGCTTCTGCGAAGGACAGAGTGCATCTCCTAACTGTGCAAGCTCCCCATTCCAGGGACTTTCTGTTGGCTGTCCCTAATTCTGCCTTGGGCACCCGCCTGGACCAATGGGTCCTAGGTATTTGTGTTACTATGCGCCTTACCACCCTATCATCACCGAGCACCGGTGTATTTGCGGCCATGCACGGGCAGACCAATACGGCAGCCATGGTCTCATCTGTCGTAAGACACAGGGAAAGATTGCCAGACATGAAGCAGTCAATGACATCATCAAGAGAAGTTTGGCTTCAGCTGGGTGCCCAGCACAAAGGGAACCTCAGTTGTGCAGGCCTGACAACAGCCAAAAACGCCCAGATGGAGTCACCCTGCAGCCGTGGAGGGAAGGTAAACAGGTCGTGTGGGACTACACGTGTGCATCCACATTGGCTGATACCTATCTACTTCATAGTACAGCTGAGGGAGGCGGGGCAGCCACCTTCAGGGACACCCAGAAAACTAATAAGTACAGGGACCTAAAACGTTGTTACAGGTTCGTACCGATAGGCTCTGAGACTGTGGGCGCCTAGGGTAATTGTGTAATTTAGTTCCCAAAGGAGGGGGGTGAGGAACTCATTAGGCAAACTTGAGACTCAAAAGTGGCCAGTTTCCTGTTCCAGCACCTCAGTGTCGCGATCGAGAAAGGAAAAGCTTGCTGTATCTTGGGCACGCACCCCACCTCTCAAGAGCTGGAGGAGGGTTTTCGATCAGTGATTGTTATGTGTGTGCGTGTTTTCTGTAAACTGTAACAATGTCGACCAGACCACACACTAGAAGGTGAAGGGACGACGACGTTTCGGTCCGTCCTGGACCATTCTCAAGTCGATTGTCGACTTGAGAATGGTCCAGGACGGACCGAAACGTCGTCGTCCCTTCAACTTATAGTGTGTGGTCTGGTCAACATACTTCAGCCACGTTATTGTGACTCACCGCCTGCATGTGTAACAATGTCATAAAATAAAATTAATAAAACGAAAAAAATAGGGGTGGTAGGAGAAGAAAATACACATTTAAGGCAATGGAGTGACTTGAACTCGCGTTCTGGTGATTCCCAGACACCTGCCTTAACCGACTCGTCTACGATGGAACAAAGCAACCCGTTCTCGCACTTTCTTTAAGTCAATATTGAATTATTAAATACGTGCATATGTGACATACTAATTTATTGTGAATATTTTAGTTTACCTTGAAAAGCTTCCTAGAAAACACCAACCTTACCTAACCTTCTTAGTATGTTAAGATAAGCAACTTATTGCTTCGTAATTACAATTATTACTTAACCTATACCTGTAATAGGTTACCTATACCTATACCTATAAGAGGTTACCTATACCTATACCTATAATAGGATAAGTAATAATTGTAATTACGAAGCAATAAGATGCTTATCTTAACATACGAAGAAGGTTAAGTAAGGTCGATGTTTTCTATGAAGCTTTTAAAGGAAAACTAAAATTTTCACAATAAATTAGTATGACACATATGCACTTATTTAATAAGTCAATATTGACTTAAAGAAAGTGCGAGAACGGGTTTCACAAAGGTTGACCAACCCAGAGTTCTAGTGAGTTCTCTTTCAGGTTCTGAAGGCAACGAACCAGAGCCCAACCAGGGGTTTATAGTTGACCCCAACCACACCCGACCATATGGACGCCGGTGGCTGTGTGGATAGCACGCTGGGCACGTAATCCTGTGGTCCGGGTTCGATTCCCGGCGCAGGAGAGAAACCAAATGGGTAGAGTTTATTTCACCATGATGCCCCCCTGTTACCTAGCAGTAATTAGGTAGCTACCTGGGAGTGAGACAGCTGTTACTGGCTACTTCCTTTGGGGTGTGTGTGTGATGAAAAAACATGAAAAAAATTAGTTAGTAGTTAGTAACAGTTGATTGATTGACAGTTGAGAGGCGGGCCGAAAGAGCAGAAGTCAGCCCCTGCAAGCACAACTAGATGAATACACTGTGGTCCTGGGTAATGGGGCTCACACCTTCACGCTCCACTATGATCCCAATGAAATCACAAAATGATATATAATTGATATATATATTTTCATTGATATATTAACGGACCCATAGATATATATCAATGAGTTTCTTAATTCAATAAAATTGTTATGTTGTGACCGGAGGCATGTCACAACCAGTGTTATGTTGTGACCAATATAATTTGTGAAAAGTGCTTCATTGTGAGCTTTATTAAGTTGTGACCGGCGGTATGTTGTGACCGGCGGTATGTTGTGACCGGCGGTATGTTGTGACCGGCGGTATGTTGTGACCGGCGGTATGTTGTGACCGGTGGTATGTTGTGACCGGCGGTATGTTGTGACCGGCGGTATGTTGTGACCGGCGG